CCCCCCCCCCCCTCTAGGGGTCCCAACGTTGGCACACCACCCGGTGTCTTACTCTGATACCATTTGTACTGCCCTAAGCCCACTGCTATCAGATATTGTCCACTTTAACCCATTATGTATCGTTGTCAGCCTCACGATTTTAATACGCATCTACTAGAGAGAGGTTTTCACACCCTTACAAGAAATGCTCTGTTCTCCTCTCCAACCGACGTAGGATCTCACAATCCACCCCCCTGGAGGTCCAACATCCTCGCTAGCACACCGCACAATGTCTTGACTCAGATACCATTTGTACTACCCTAAACCCACCGCTAGCAGATATTGTCCGTTTTAGCCTATTACGCATAGTTGTCAGCCTCACAATTTTAAAACGCATCTACTAGAGAGAGGTTTCCACACCCTTACAAGTAATGCTCTGTTCCCCTCTCCAATCGATGTGGGATCTCACAATCCACCTCTCCTTGGAAGCCCAACATCCTCGCTGACACACCGCCCGATGTGTGGCTCTAATACTATTTGTAATGCCCTAAGCCCACTGCTAGCAAATATTGTTTGATTTGACCCATTACACATCGTCAACAGCCTCACAATTTTAAAACGCATCTACTAGGGAGAGGTTTCCACACCCTTACAAGGAATGCTCCATTCCCCTCTCCAACCGATGGATCTCACAATCCACCCCCCACCCCCTTGGAGACCCAACGTCATCGTTGACACACCGCCTGATATCTAACTCTAATACCATTTGTAATACCCTAAGCCCACTACTAGCAGATATTGTCTGTTTTGGCCCATTACGCATCATCATCAGCCTCACAATTTTAAAACAAGCCTACAAGGGAGAGGTTTCCACACCTTTATAAAAAATACTTCATTCCCCTCTCCAACCGACGTGGGGTCTCATAAAAGGACTGACTCGCTAGTTGGTTCTTATAAGCCCGAAAAGCTGAAAGGACGGACCGACTCCTAGTATATCCAAATATTCAATATCTAGCATGAACCTGAACTACAGAGAAGAAACAGGGGCAGGGAAGTCTAAAACTTCTCCTGTCTCATTCAAAAACATGTAATGTTCTACAGAAATTGTCCAATTCATAAGTAGGTGAGCTGTGTTTCCTGCATAAGTCACCATGTAATAATGCTAACAGAAAGTGACTAATTATCTATACATATTCTAAATGGCTCAAGAGGTTGTCATAACATCCCAGCGCCAAATTGTCCCATCTTCACAGCAGCTCAGAATTATACTGAAACACAAACCAATGTTTTTTCTTTTCTTTTTACATGTTCGATGTCGACTGAAACGAACGAGATATCGATAAATTGGAGAGTTCATATGTAACAAGAACATTGCTTACCTTCCATCAAAGGACATGGCTGTCTGTCTGATGGGAGACTTCGACTGGGCATGAGACAGCCTAGATGAGAAAATGAACAAGAAAACTTGTGAGTGATGCTGGAGTTGAGAAACCAGTGTTGAAATATAAAAGAGTTGAACAAACCTTGCAATAAGAACTGGGGGGCTCGACTGAAGTTCCCAAACAAAAATTTTTCCTTCCCTATTTCCTGGAGTATTGAAAAAAGGAACCAGGGAGATCTCCATGGATCAGTTGGCAATTTGAATTTACGAGAATTATGTTGTGAAACGAACCAAGCCCACTGCTAATTGATATTGTCCTCTTTGGGTTTTTCCTTTCGGGTTTTCTCTCAAGGTTTTAAAACGTGTTTGCTAGGGAGAGGTTTCCACACCCTTATAAGGAATGCTTCGTTTCCTTCTCCAACTGAGGTGAGATCTCATAATCCACCCCCCTTGGAGGTCGGCGTCCTCGCTGGCACATCGCTCGGTGTCTAGCTCTGATACCATTTGAAACAGCCCAAGCCTACCGCCAGCAGATATTGTCCTCTTTGGGCTTTTCCTTTCAGGTTTTCCCTCAAGATTTTTAAAACGTGTCTGCTAGGGAGAGGTTCCACACCCTTATAAGGAATGCTTCATTCCCCTCTCCAACCGATGTGGAATCTCACAATCCACTCCCCTTGGAGGTTAGCGTCCTCGTAGACACACCACTTGGTGTCTAACTCTGATACCATTTGAAACAGCCCAAATCCACTGCCAACAGATATTGTCCTCTTTGAGCTTTCTCTTTCGGATTTTTCCTCAAGGTTTTAAAACGCGTCTACTAGGGAGAGGTTTCCACACCCTTATAAGGAATGATTCGTTCTCCTCTCCAACTGATGTGGGATCTCTGTTGCAATGCCTTGCATGAGTTAGGTGATATGATTTCAAAGCATAAAACGATACATGGCACGGAATTACCTATAGCAGCTGCATTGTAATGAAAATCACAGGAAAACTTGATGAACCAAATATCACATTCAGGAACAGGGTACTTCTGAAGAATATCCACAGTACCCTGAAGATGAAAAAAATGGTAGATTTTCTGAATAGTGTGTATCTTGGGCAAAAATAGAAGATATATAATAGAATGATATTCCAGAAATAAATAGAGATGAGAATCAGACCTCTCCAGGTGACTGCTCCTTCATTTTAGGTTCCCACAACACTATTTCATTGTCAACACTCTGGAATGCACAAACAGTCCTTATTACTGGTACTGATAATAATATAGAAACATCTATGACAATAATTTATCCATTCTCTTTCTCGGGCCAAGAGTGTAACGGCTCAAGCCCACCACTAGCCGATATTGTCTTCTTTGGGTTTTCCCTTTTGGGGTTCCCCTCAAGGTTTTTAAAACGCGTCTGCTAGGGAGAGGTTTCCACACCCTTATAAAGGGTGTTTCGTTCTCCTCCCAACCGATGTGGGATCTCACAATTCACACCCTTTCAGGGCCCAGCGTCCTCGCTAGCACTCATTCCCTTCTCCAATCGACGTGGAACCCCCTAATCCACCCCCTTTGGGGCACAGCATACTTGCTAACACACCGCCTTGTGTCCACCCCCATTCGGGACTCAGCCTCCTCGCTGGCACAACGCTCAGTGTCTGACTTTGATACTATTTGTAATGGCCTAAGTCCACCGCTAGCAAATACTGTCCTCTTTGAGTTTTCCCTTTCGAGCTTCCCCTCGAGGTTTTTAAAACACGTTTGCTAGGGAGAGATTTGCACACCCTTATAAAGGGTGTTTCGTTCTCCTCCCCAATCGATGTGAGATCTCACAAAGGGGATAGCCACATAGGCTTGTGCCTTCGGGTCCAGGGAATCAACATGCCAGTTCTAGATTTCTAAAACTAGAAAATCCTAGATATCTTCCAAAGTTGACATTAGAGCATGTCCATAGTAAACATATATAAGTTACAAAGCACAAAATACAGATACAAGACACCGACACGACATGTCATATTTTTAAAATCTTAAACATAGACGCTGCAAGCACACATTTATTAAATAATAACTTTAAAATATATCACGTTTATACAAGAAGAAAATTCAAGGTCAATGTGTATGTATATGATTAAAAAATAGCTTGAAATGTAACACGATAATCTTGGGTGAGAAGTGCTCGTGGGGGTACGACAACGGTGCTTTTGGCACGGCAAAGACACTCCCATATATACTCTTAAAATCACCTAGAAAACTCGATATCAACGGAAAGAGAAGCTGGCTGACCTTTGAAAGAATAAAATCACCAAGCCACCTACTGCAGTCAACATAATTTGAATGAACTGATGCTATGAACACCTGAATCAGCAAAACATATTTAGATTCAGAGGATAAATGTCAATCTGAAACATGAAAATGTATGATACTTACTGGGAACTGGACATACTTTGTGGGAAATTTTGATGGAAGATCTGTCCAGGTAAACGATTTTTCCACGTACGTCCAGAACTCTGAATCAAGCAACAACACGAAGAGCTAGTTTAACAAAAACTGAAACTTAGCCTTTGCACATTAGAAGTTCGAATCGATAGCGTGGAACAACTTGGACAATGAATTCAGATAGAACGAAGCCACAGGGCACGAAAATAAGAAAATCAAAATCCAATGAGGTTCTGTTGGTTGAATTATAATTCATACTTGAACCAGTAAGACGAAAAAGGAAACTGATTACTTAATCTTAATAGAATATCATTGGCAATTGGTTTAAGCAAAGAGATAAATGCAATGCCCTACCTTTCATTGACCAAATTTTTACAGTGTTGTCCATGCCACAGCTTGCGATGCGATAAATATCCGATGGATGGAAATCCTAAAGCATATACAACGTCAGTAAAATTTATATACTCGGTTTCAAACCCGACCCAAAGATGAGTGCATAAAAGTTCACTAAACATACAACTAGAAGATCGAATATAGTCTATCCTTACCACGCTTAAGACCTCATTACGATGACCACCTGCACCAGCAAATACCAAAATGCAAATACCTGTATGAACATTCCATAATCGAACAGATTCGTCCTGGACACTTCAAACCATTAGTCAAGGTAATTTTAAGAGAATGTAAGGATATATCTTAATTCTTATCCAAAACGAATCGAAGGGTATAGTTCGGCACCGTACTTTGCTAGCAGAGATCACTAGTGATGGTTTCAGTGGCTGAGTCCTGATTTCGTTTATTGAATCACCATGACCAACAAAACTCTGCAGAGAAGAGCAGATCCAAGTAGTAGGAAATAAGTCAAATCTAAGCTCCATGGCTAGTTCATCTAGCTGACTACAGTATGCAAATATTATGTTCAACAGTTTCAACTTTTTTCATGGCCATCTACCATTTCCATGTTTATGAACTTCCCACCCTCTCTTTCCCTTAGCTATGAATTGGATGGTGCTTGCGATTTCAAGGTTTATTTATTTCCCTTCTGTATATAGACTGGCAGTATGCTGCTCAGTGAGTGGATTGTTTGTCTATATCAACTATTTCCTTTCTGTATATACCGGTTTCATGCTGTACGGTGTGGGTTGTTCGTCCACCTCTTCAATATCTTCAATTATCTTCCTCTTTTTTATAAGAGATTTATTCATGACATTAAAATACATATAAAAACAGAGGAAAAAATAAGACATGTCCCACAACTGAATCAACAAGCAACATGTGAGATCACACATCGGTTGGGGAGGAGAACGAAACATTCTTTATAGGGGTGTGGAAACCTCTCCCTAGTAGACGCGTTTTAAAAACCTTATGGGAAAGCCCGAAAGGGAAAACCCAAACAGGAAAATATCTACTAGCAGTGGGCTTCGGCCGTTACACAACAAGTCTAGAAAAACATCATCCAGTTATATGCATATACATTCTTGAAGTGTAAGTAAAACTATTTTTCAAACTTTTCATTGGAAAATGAAACTGTTAAAATCTGACAATTATGATCCAAAGAGATACCTTATATATCTTTTCACTGCCAGCATCAATAACACGGATTATACCATTGATTCCACCAGCAACAACAAATGGGGAGCCATCGACGTTGAACGCCCAGCTTACAGTGTAAAAAGACTCATCCTTCTGATCTACAAAGTACATGGGGAACTCAATGTAACTTGAGAATATAAATAGATCTGGGGTTGAACTACAACACAGTCACTCACATCTTCGTCGACATAGGACTGCAACACGGCTATAACACCCCCTTCAAGACATTGATAAACTGTAACCTGCAAACATATTGAGTAACATTAAAACAGCACCACAGTTTCAAATTCAGCAACCATGTCATTGCGTGGAGACAATTGCGTGGAGACAATGTTAGGAACCACGACTCTCCACAATGGTATGGTATTGTCCATTTTGAGCATAAGCTCTCATGATTTTGCTTTTGGTTTCCCCAAAAGACCTCATGTTAGTAGAGATGTATCCCTTACTTGTCGCCCATGATCATCCCCTTAATTAGCAATTGTGGGACTCTCTCCCAACAATCCTCCCCTCGAACAAAGTACAACATAGAGCCTCCCCTGAGGCCTATGTAGCCCTCAAATAATCTCCCTTTCTCGACTCCTTTCTCTGGAGCCCTCGAACAAAGCACACCCTTTGTTCAACACTTAGTCACTTTTGACTACACTCTCGAGGCTAGCAACTTCTTTGTTCGACACTTAAGAATTCTATTGACATGACTAAGTTAAGAAGTGACTCTGATACCATGTTAGGAACCACGACTCTCCACAATGGTATGATATTTTCTACTTTGAGCATAAGCTCTCATGACTTTGCTTCGGGCTTCCCCAAAAAGCCTCATACCAATGGAGATGTATTCCTTACTTATAAACCCATGATCATCCCCTTAATTAGCCAACGTGGGACTCCCTCCCAACAATCCTCAACAATTTCATAGCACCTGAGTTTTAGGTTAAGTAACAAGCACCATTTCTCCTTCAGTAAATCTCAATTTACAAATATCAGAATGCTATTCCTTTATTTACAAGAGTATAATTAGAAGTGGAGGCATTTTAACCTAAACCAATCGGGTTTTACAGCTCAAGCATCACAATTGGGAACCCAAGACATCAAAACACAAACAAGCCCACTCAAAATCAAACAAAACCCGAAGCCGTACGGCGCAGCATTCCAACATATACAGTAAAATCGACGAACTCAAACACCAAGAACGCAATACTAATCGAAATTCATCAAACACTTCGAAAATAAAACATCGGTCACTCCCAAATTTGCCATTCAATGCTGCACAATCCTTTCCCTGCATATTCCAAAGAAATAAAACAACGTGTGAAGCGCTCACCCGATTGCCGCCAACAGTGGCAAAGACGTTGAAGTAGCGAGAGTCGATGAAGTTGAAAACTACAGCATAAAGAGGCCTTTTCCCTTCTTGAAGCCGGTTGGTGACCCTGTATTCCCTCTTCCTCGACGGAGTTAACGAACCCACCACTGGTTCGGAGCCTAAAGAGTACTTCGCCATACGCGCGAAATGGCAGAGACAGAGACGGGGAGAGAGTTTGTCTAGACGGGCAGTAAGAAGAAGGGCAAAAGTGAGGACTTCGGGCAGGTGATCCGCCCAATTAATTTAATTTTTTTTTAGTAACAATTTAAATTAAATAAATTCAAATTAATAAAAATTTGATAAGATTTATTATAAATTTGATATTGTGAATACTAAATTATTACAAATTTTTATTAATGGTATGAAAATTGAAGGCCCGAAAGTATATTTTCTACTTGAGTTTGAGTTCCAATACGTAAAAGGAAGCAAATGAGTGTTCGGTAGATATGTTTATTTAATTCACAGAACAGGGGCTCCATACGGACTCTCCCCGAACAGGACGGAAATTTTCTGTTTAAACGGGCAATGGGAGAGAGAGTGGCTTAATGATACCTTTAGAGATAAAATGATCTTAATTCTTTATATAGTTGTAAATAATACAAACAATGCCATATAATTTTTACACATTAATTGTAAAATAATTGTCACGTCGATTTTCATATTTTATTTTGTACGAAAAGCGATTTTGAGAACAATGACAAAGTTCAAAGGTATTTTTTCTAGAACAAAATGGATAGAAGTGAAACTTTTCAAAGTCTAGAGGTATAAGTGTAACCCGCAACCCGACATGATACCCTTTTAACTACAAGCATTTTTTTGGGCAAACTTCGTTGGACGACACGACATTCTCGTTCCCAAGGATCCAATATGACCACTTAAGTCTATGTTGCCATGATATTGTTCTATGGAAGCAGGCGGGTAAAAGTTCGGCCCGGTTTTTTTTGGTGTCGTTGTGGAGGGATTGACATTTCTAATGCATATTCAGTCAAACCGGCATGGCCCCATTGATTTTTCGATTGGAGCATCCAAGAGTACAATTCGATTCTACTTGACTAATCCCCATGCTCATCTAAAGAGGGAGTTTGCTTTACTCAACTCTCTTTTCGATAACAAGGCAAAACCTCCCGACTTAATATTAATTAGTTTCGAATGAAGAATGAAGAGTGCCCTGCCCCTACAACCATGAATAATAAGAGTAAGTAAGAGGATACCTATCATTGGACAAGAAGATGAGTCAAAATTGACCAATTCTGCACTTTCTGCTGTGTGTGTGATAGAGTGAGAGGCATATTTTAATGCAAAAACAATGTAAGATGACGAAGGAGATCCAACTCACTTGGTCCAATCCATCAACAAATGTCATAGAGAAAAAGAATGAAAATGGAACACAATACTATTTTTGTAACGGTCCACGCACACCGTTAGCATATATTATTCTTTTTTACACTTTTCTTTTCGGGTTTTCTCTTGAGGTTTTTAGAACGCGTCCGAAGCATCTTTTACAAGGGTGTAGAAACCTTTCCCTAGCAGACGTGTTTTAGAAACTTTGAGGGAAAGCCCGAAAGGAAAAGCCTTAAAGAGAACAATATCTACAAACGGTGGACTTGGAGTGTTACAATTTTTCTTCTCTCTCAGCGGTTGCTATCTGGTTTTGTTCTTATTTTCTATGAGTTTTTAAGTCTTTTAACAAGGATGACAGGTTAACATTTAGCCCCAAGACAACAAAGCATTGTTGCTTCATAGTCTCCTAAGTGCAGTCTTTTTGGCCTTATGCATTAGGAAGGGAGCAAAGATTGCAGGCAGAAAATGCTTAGTTTTGGAGAAGTAAACCAACTAGAAAAAACCAGATATAAACATGGGCGAGCTAAAAGATATTGTCCTCTTTGGACTTTTCTTTCCGGACTTCCCCTCAAAGTTTTAAAATGCGTCCACTAGGGAGAGGCTTTCACACCTTTATAAGGAATGCTCCGCTTCCCTCTCCAACCGATGTGAGATCTCACAAAACATAACCATGGCCATACAAAGCAATTCAAAGGCAGAGAACGGAAAAACACTAGCAGATATTATCCTCTTTGAGTTTTTCCTTCCGGGTTTCCCCTCAAGGCTTTAAAACACGTCCACTAGGAAGAGGTTTCCACACCCTTATAAGGAATGATCTGTTCCCCTCTCCAACCGACGTGAGATCTCACAAAATATAACCATGGCCATACAAAGCAGTCCAAAGGCAGAAGAAGGGAAAAACGCTAGCAGATATTGTCTTCTTTGAGTTTTCTCTTCCGGGTTTTCCCTCAAAGCTTTAAAACACGTCCACTAGGAAGAGGTTTCCACACCCTTATAAAGAACGATTTGTTCCCCTCTCCAATCGACGTGGGATCTCACAAAACATAACCATAATAGTCATACAAACCAGTCCAAAAGGCAGAAGAAGAAACAAAAAAACTCAACCTATCATATCATTCAAGAATCTCAAATCAATCATCTTCATTTTTGAAGTTTTGTTAATGCATTTCTGAGTCACTAGTGTTTTTCAATAACCAGAAAGGAGAATCAGTCTACCCAAAGGCTTGAAATTGCTTGCAGACAAACGAAATAGTAATGCCAAGATATTGACAATTAAGGAATCACTATGGCGCCGGCAAGGCTCAAATATAAAGTAGAATCATTCTTATCTCACCTGGCATTGGCCATTTCAGAGAATGCTGCTCCTCTCTTTCTCTCTGTCACTCTTCTAGACCACAGAGCTGAAAAAATGGCAGGCAAAAGCATGTTTCGGTATGCTGATGGCTTCGACAAGTTTCTGATGTTTTTTGGGACTTTGGGTAGCATAGGAGATGGATCACAGATCCCTCTCACGATGTTCCTTCTTAAGGATGTAATCAATGCTTATGGAGACAAGAACAGTGGCTTGACAAACGATATGGTTGACAAGGTAAGGCTTGCTCCTCTTTGTTATGTTGCCTTTTCTTATGGAAAACTCTGTAGTTGATTTGATTGAGAGGAAATTAACAACGAATACTTCAAACAAATAATCATGGCTAGATAGAAAGGACAGAAGGTAAAGTGAACAAACTACACATTTGCAAAAAGCGAGAGAGAAGAACTGTTAGATCCCACATCGATTGGAGAGAGGAACGAGTGCCAGCAAGGACGCTGGACTCCGAAGGGGAGGGGAACGAGTGCCAGCGAGGACATTGGACCCCGAAGGGGTGGATTGTGAGATCTCACATCAGTTAGGGAGGAGAACGAAGCATTCTTTATAAGAGTGTGGAAACTTCTCCCTAACAGACACGTTTTAAAGACCTTGAGGGGAAACCCGAAAGGGAAAACCCAAAGAAGACAATATTTGCTAGGGTGGTTTGGGCTGTACAAATGGTATCATAGACAGACAACGAGTGATGTGCCAGCGAGGAGGTTGAGCCTTGAAAGGGGGTGGACACGAGGCGGTGTGCCAACAAGGACACTAGGCCCCGAAGGGAGGTGGATTGGGGGGTCCCACATCGATTGGAGAAGGGAACGAGTGCCAGCGAGTACGCTGGGCCACGAACAGGGTAGATTGTGAGATCCCACATCGGTTGAAGAGAAGAACGAAGCATTCTTCATAAGGGTGTGGAAACTTCTCCCTAGCAGACACGTTTTAAAAACCTTGAGAGTAAGCCCAAAGAGGATAATATCTGTTAGCAGTGGGCGTGGACTGTTGAGACTGAAACAAAGAATATGTCCAACTGGACCACATACCATAACATAAAACATAATGTTCAGCCGACAAAACAATAACTTACAGCTCTCAATCATATATTGTTTGATCATAAGGCAACCAAAGGAGGCAGAGAAAGAAAACAGTTTCTACAATAGGGAGATGCCTTCCTGACGAGAGGAAAAACACTAGAAACTGCATTTAATTATGAACTTTTGCATTTGTTACCCAACCTACAGGCTAAATGCTGTTAGTGATATAGTTTGTACAGCAATTTGTTGTTAACTTGCTATTCTAATATGTTTCAGTTTGCACTGCGTCTACTTTACGCTGCAGTTGGCGTCGGACTTTCAGCCTTCGTGGGTGAGCCTATTTGCTGGAAATTTATTCATGGGGTAAGAGGGTAATAGTTTATGTTTTTCTCACTAAGCTTCACAATTTGAACTTTTCAGAGGGATTGTGTTGGGCAAGAACAGCAGAGAGACAGACATCTAGGATGAGAATGGAATATTTGAAATCTGTGCTTAAACAAGAAGTTAGTTTCTTCGATACCCAAACCGGTTCGACGACTCATGAGGTTGTCTCCCTCATTTCCTCCGACGCTAGTTCAATCCAAGTCGCCTTATGTGAAAAGGTTCGGTTTCAGATAAACTATCAATGAATCTATTTGGCTATCCACATAACTACTAATTACCAGAAACTATGTTAGAGATATTTATCAGCAAGGTTTAATGTAACACCCCAAATCCACCGCTAGCAGATATTGTCCTCTTTGGGCTTTCCCTTTCGGGCTTCCCCTCAAGGCTTTAAAACGCGTTTGCTAGGGGAAGGTTTCCACACCCTTATAAATGATGGTTTGTTCTCCTCCCCAACCAATGTGGGACATCACAATCCACCCCGCTTCGGGGCCCAGCGTCCTCGCTGGCACTCTTTCCTTCCTCCAATCAATGTGGGACCGCCCCCAAATCCACCCCCCTTTGGGGCCCAGCGTCCTTACTAGCACACTGCCTCGTGTCTACCCCCTTTGGGGAACAGCGAGAAGGCTAGCACATCGTCCAGTGTCTGGCTCTGATACCATTTGTAAGGCCCCAGATCCACCACTAGCAGATATTGTCCTCTTTGGGCTTTCCCTTTCGGTCTTCCCCTCAAGGCTTTAAAACGCATTTGCTAGGGGAAAGTTTCCACACCCTTATAAATGGTGGTTTGTTCTCCTCCCCCAACCAACATGGGACATCACATTTAAACTATATATATAGACAAGATTTTCTAATATGTTAGAGATCAGAAGTAAAGAGAAAGGATCATCCATAAATATGAAGAACACAGATAGCCCAATAGATATCAATAATTTCATCTACCATCATGCAGGAATATCTCATTCTTTCTTTCTGTGCAGATACCTGACTGCCTTACTTACATGTCAACATTCTTCTTCTGCCACGTATTTGCCTTTATAGTATCGTGGAAGTTCACCTTTGCAGTCATCCCGCTCTCGGCCATGTTCATTGGTCCAGGGCTTGTGTTCGGCAAGATTATGATGGACCTGATAATGAAAATGATTGAATCTTATGGTGTGGCTGGAGGGATTGCAGAGCAAGCAGTATCTTCAATAAGAACTGTATATTCATACGTAGGAGAAAGGCAAACACTGGAAAAGTTCAGCCAAGCACTCCAAAAAAGTATGGAATTTGGGATTAAGTCCGGTTTGGTGAAGGGATTGATGCTTGGAAGTATGGGAATCATTTACGCTGGTTGGGGCTTTCAAGCTTGGATCGGCACTTATTTGGTCACTGAGAAAGGAGAAAAAGGAGGCAATGTTTTTATAGCTGGTTTCAACGTTCTAATGGGAGGGCTGTGAGTTTTCTTCATCATCTATATCCAGTTCATTCATTGCTGTAGTTAGTTTGCATAATTCCATTCACCTTTTCTTCTATAAATTCGACGTTTTCAGGAGTATATTGAGTGCATTGCCTCATCTAACCTCGATCACAGAAGCAACATCTGCAACTGCTCGTATCCTTGAAATGATCGATCGTGTTGCTGAGACAGACAGAGAAGACAAAAAGGAGAAAGCTCTATCTCACGTGAAAGGAGAAATTGAATTTCGAAACGTATATTTTAGTTATCCGTCAAGGCCTGATACGCCTGTATTACGAGGATTCAATCTGAAGGTTCCAGCAGGGAAGAGAGTAGGACTCATAGGAGGAAGCGGATCTGGGAAGTCCACGGTTATCTCGCTGCTTGAAAGGTTTTATGATCCTACTGATGGAGAAATACTCTTAGATGGACATAAAATAAAAAGATTTCAGCTAAAATGGCTAAGATCTCAAATGGGTCTGGTGAATCAGGAACCTGTTCTATTTGCTACTTCAATAAAAGAGAACATAATATTTGGAAAAGATGGAGCTTCAATGGAACAAGTGATAAATGCAGCTAAAGATGCAAATGCACACGACTTCATCGTTAAGCTACCAGAAGGTTACGATACTCAAGTAAGTTTTAGTCGCGTATTTACTTACAGAATTAGGTTGCTGTCTAAGACTTCACGGCTCGAAAACTAGTTATCAACTGCAAAACAAAGAAGTGTATGAAATAGATCAGCCTCTTGTGTAGTTTGAAACAAATACAACAATTTGAAACTAAAAAATAATGGAATGTAGCTTAGTATGCTTTAAAAAACCTTTGGTATGTCGACTTCTTTTCAGGTCGGTCAGTTTGGTTTCCAAATGTCTGGAGGTCAAAAGCAACGGATTTCCATAGCGAGAGCTCTTCTTCGGGACCCAAAAATACTGTTACTTGATGAAGCAACCAGTGCACTGGATGCACAATCTGAACGAATGGTACAGGAAGCAATTGATAAGGCATCAAAAGGAAGGACGACGATCACCGTTGCACATCGTCTTTCAACAATACAAACGGCACATCAAATTGTAGTTCTTAAAGCTGGGCAAGTAATTGAATCGGGTTCACACAATGAGCTGATGCTGTTGAACAATGGACAGGGTGGGGAGTATCTAAGGATGGTGCAGTTGCAGCAGATGGCAGTGCAGAATGAAACTTTCTATGATTCCAATATTGAAATGGATAGAAGATATCGCCATAGGATGAGTACTCCCACAAGCCCAATCAGTGTGAGATCCAGTGGATATAGTACTCCAGTATTATATCCCTTCAGCTCAGCTATGTCTGTCTCGATGGGAACACCGTACTCTTACTCCGTCCAGTTTGATCCCGATGATGAAAGCTTTGAAGAAGATAGAAAACATCCAGCTTATCCTTCTCCTTCCCAGTGGCGTTTACTGAAAATGAATGCACCGGAATGGGGACGAGCACTGCTTGGATGTTTAGGTGCTTTAGGCTCAGGAGCAGTGCAACCCATTAACGCGTATTGCGTAGGAGCACTCATATCAGTTTATTTTCGCGCCGATGAGCCCAACATTAAGTCTAAAGCCAGAAACTTGTCACTTATCTTCTTAAGCATTGGCATTTTCAACTTCTTAACAAATGTCCTGCAACATTACAATTTTTCAATCATGGGAGAAAGACTAACGAAGCGGGTGCGTGAGAAAATACTCGAAAAGCTTATGACATTTGAAATTGGATGGTTCGATCAAGATGAGAACACAAGTGCAGCCATTTGTGCAAGGTTATCAACTGAAGCCAACATGGTCCGTTCCCTTGTCGGAGACAGAATGTCATTACTGGTCCAAGCAGTTTTTAGTGCAGCCTTTGCTTACACTGTGGGACTTGTGCTCTCATGGAGGTTAACTCTGGTGATGATTGCAGTGCAGCCACTAGTCATTGGTAGCTTCTACGCAAGGAGTGTGTTGATGAAGAGCATGGCTGAAAAATCCCGAAAAGCACAAAGAGAAGGCAGCCAACTTGCAAGTGAAGCGGTAACGAACCATAAAACCATCGTTGCATTCTCGTCTCAGAAAAAGATACTCGGGCTCTTTGCTGCCACGCTTAAAGCTCCTAAGAAAGAAAGTGCCAGACAGTCTTGGATATCTGGCCTTGGCCTATTCAGTTCCCAGTTCTTTAACACTGCTTCAACAGCTTTAGCCTACTGGTATGGTGGGAGGCTATTGACACAAAACATGATATCCTCAGAGCACATCTTTCAAGCATTCTTGATATTGCTATTCACCGCATATATCATAGCCGACGCTGGAAGTATGACTTCCGATATATCTAGAGGAAGCAATGCTGTTGGATCAGTGTTTGCAATCCTAGACAGGAAGACTGAAATCGATCCCGATCACAAATCAAGACGGGATCTCAAAAGACGGTTAAAGGGTAAAGTGGAGCTCAGGAGTGTTTCTTTCTCATATCCAACAAGACCGGAACAGATAGTTTTAAGGGGACTGAGCCTTAAAATTGATGCAGGAAAAACAGTAGCACTGGTGGGGCAAAGTGGCTCTGGAAAATCTACTATCATTGGACTTATAGAAAGGTTTTATGATCCCTCAAGTGGGTCTATACACATTGACGAACAGGACATTAAGAACTACAATTTGAGATGGTTAAGGTCACAAATAGCATTAGTCAGTCAAGAGCCAACTCTTTTTGCTGGAACTATCAGAGAAAACATTGCCTATGGAAAAGAGGAAGCAGGGGAATCAGAGATCAGACAAGCAGCTGTTCTTGCCAATGCTCATGAGTTCATAAGGTAAACAGAACTATATACTTCCTAAGCTCTCTTCCTTCCCTTTCCTCATTAGAATAAAGTTCAAATTCATTTCGGATCTAAACCTGGTTGGAGACTGAGTCCCACGTTGGTTAATTTAGGGAATGATCATGGGTTTATAAGTGAGGAATACTATCTCCATTGGTATAAGACCTTTTGGGGAAGCCCAAAGCAAAGCCATGAGAGGTTATGCTCAAAGTGGACAATATCATACCATTGTGAAGAGTCGTGATTCCTAACATGGTATCAAAGTCATACCCTAAACTTAGCTATGTCAACAGAGTCCTCGAGTGTCGAACAAAGAAGTTGTGAGCCTCAAAGAAGTAGTCAAAAGTGACTCAAGTGTCGACAAAGGGTGTACTTTGTTCGATGACTCCAAAGAAAGGAGTCGAGCCTCGATTGAGGGGAGGCTGTTTGAGGGCTCTGTAGGCCTCAGAGGAGGCTCTATAGTGTACTTGTTCGAGGGGAGGATTGTTGGGAGGGAGTCCTACATTGGCTAATTTAGGAAATGATCATGAGTTTATATGTAACAACCCAGGCCCACCGCTAGTAAATATTGTCCTCTACGGTCTTTCCCTTTCAGGCTTCCTCTCAAGATTTTTAAAACGTCTCTGCTAGGGAGAGGTTTCCACACCCTTATAAAGGGTATTTTGTTCTCCTCCCCAACCGATGTGGGATCTCAAGAAGTGAGAAATACTATTTCTATTGGTATGAGGCCTTTTGGGGAAGCCCAAAGCAAAGCCACGAAAGCTTATACTCAAAGTGGACAATATCATACCACTGAGAGTCGTGATTCCTAACAAAACCATCCATCAAAGAGTTACCCACCAAAACAAGAGATTTCATTAAACAACATTACACTTTAACATATTTCTATTCTAACAGTGGAATGAAAGATGAGTATAACACATACTGCGGCGAGAGAGGAGCGCAGCTATCAGGCGGGCAAAAGCAAAGAATCGCACTGGCAAGAGCGATCCTGAAGAACCCATCAATCCTGCTGCTAGATGAGGCAACAAGCGCGCTCGACAGCGTATCAGAGAATTTGGTGCAGGAAGCCCTAGAGAAGATGATGGTAAACAGAACCTGCATAATCGTCGCCCACCGCTTATCGACGATTCAGAAGGCGAACACCATCGCCGTGATCAAGAACGGGAAAGTTGTGGAACAAGGATCGCACAATGAGCTAATTTCAATGGGGCGCCGTGGTGAGTACTATTCTTTGACAAAATCGCAGGCCGGAAACTTCCCTCCGCGCTGAATCGTTCAAATTTCATGTAGGGTTTATGGGTTTAAGCTTGTTGTAATTGTAAGCCCAGATATTGAATCACTTAGAACAATTTTTCTATGAACATGATGAACCCACGTCAAATTAGAATTAGAAAAAATGGCTCTTGTTTAGTACCAAACAATGAAGTGGAAATTCCAACCCCTATTATAAAATAATAATTAAAAATAAATAAATAAATAGTGTTGTGTTTATCTAGAAATGTTCCTTTAGTCTGTTGGGTCTCGAGTCAAAAAATCCGAGATGGAAGAGATAGTTTTCGAATAAATAAGATGGAGACGGGATTATAATTTCCATCGTCGTTTCGATCTCGAACTGATTATTTATTACTATGGTGTAACATTCAAATTTAAATATTATAATTATTTTTATATAATGTAATATCGTGTTTTTATTATGATATTTTATAACATTTTATTTAAACCGTTATATTTAGAATTATCCATTTATTTATTTATTAAGAATTGTTATTATGGTAGGAAATAAATTTGAGAAAAAGCGATTTTCACTTTACGACCCATCAGTTCAACCTATAGGGTCGAGAACTCAGTTTAAATCAAAGTGGGAAGAAATTAAAAATTATATTTGTTAGACGAACACGACTCTCCACAATGGTATGATATTGTCTAGTTTGAGATTAAACTCTCATGGCTTTGCTTTAGGCTTCCCCAAAAGGTCTCGTACTAATAGAGTTAGTATTACTCACTTATAAATCCATGATCATTCCCTAAATTAGCCGATGTGGGACTTTTATCATCCAATAATATTCATTGTCACGCCCTGTTATATATATCGCTCCCAAATGCTTAATTATGTTAAAGAATTTTCGATATTAAAATTTAAATTTTTAGAAATTATGTTGGTAGGATGTTTCAAATATTAATAATTTTTAAAAAATTGAAAATAATAAATAAATATAAAATATAACTCTTTTAAAATTAAATATCTAACAATATTTATTTAATTGTTTCTCAAATAAAATTACAGACACTAAAATAAATATTTTAAAAAATTAATTTCTCGATCTTCTACAGTCGGCCGTGATTGGGCGGTGGAGACACTTCCGACTAAAGACGCCGCCCAAAAAGTCCGTCAAATGACGTCATTTTCAGAAAAGTTTCCACAAGACAAACACCCAAAAACTCCAAATAACCCTCACCGGCGAGCCGTCGGGCACGGCGACGCCGGAGCTAAGCGTAATCCCTGGGTATTCCGTCGCTCCCTGCTCGTTGACTTTGAACTCCGCTCCGACTCTCAAATTCTCCCTCTTGGTATTCCAGAACAAGATCTTGAACCGGACCGCCGTCGCCAAATCCAGCCGGAAAACCGCCGCCCCATTCCGGGAAACCGCCTTCCAATCCACTCCACGGGTCTCGATGGTCTCGTTTCTGAACGCCTTCTTGCCGCGGCCTTGGTGGAATCCGGGCACTGTCACGTTGCCCAGCGGCCGCCGGCTGCCGCCGGCGGCCGCTCCGACGAGTGTGAGGTTGAGATTGAGAGAGTCGTAGAAGACTGATTTGTCTTTGTTCTGGTTTTTGAGGCGCAGATCGAAGGAGACGGTGGAATTTAAAGGCGAATTTAGGGATTGATTTAAGGCTGGAATGTAAAAATGTTCGATGGAGCATTTGGGTTTGCGGGTTCGAAGGCTGAGCCATAAGAACAGAGCAGCGAAGCCGGAAGTTAAGATGAAGCTGAAACAACACCGGCAGCAGCCGCCGGGTTCCGTCATGTAAGGCGGCGAACGGAGAAAAGGGATCCGGTGGGAAGGAGAAGAAGAGGAAATGGGAAGTTGAGAACAGGGGGAGTACAATAATGTTGTGGGGGTAGGCAAAAGC